AAAGGGGACAAAGAACTTTGTTTCCCAGACTTTTGTTTGTCTGGACAAAGGTTGAGTGTCTGTAGAAAAACTAAATATTTAGGACATTTCATTACAGATCAGCTTTCTGATGATGAGGATATATATCGGCAGTGTCGCATTTTGTATGCTCCAGCTAATATGTTGGTTAGGAAATTTCACATGTGTTCTGCTAATGTTAAAGTTCATTTGTTCAGAACATACTGTACACCGTTGTATACTGCCCCATTGTGGTGTAAATATAAGGTAGCTACTTTACAGAAACTTAAAGTTGCTTATAATGATGCCTTGAGGATTCTGCTTAAGAAGCCTAGGTCCACCAGCGCCAGTCTGTTGTGTTCACAGGTCCATGTTAGTACCTTTCAGGCATTAATGAGAAACCTGATGTACAGATTTATCTGTCGTGTGAATAACTCTGAGAACAGTCTTATAATGATGCTGGCTAATCCTGGTTTTAGTGTAGTACGTTACCAATCCTCTCTGTGGAAACATTGGTATAAATGTCTTTTATGATTTTTATTTATTTATTTTTATTTTTTGTCTTCTTTTATATCCTTTCTTTTTCTTTTATTTCTTTTTTTGTATGGACCTTGAGTCTGCTAATAAAGGCTGATGATGATGATGATGATGATTGCTTATGAAGGACAGATTTGGGATCAGCCTGTAATATTGAAGCCCAGGTTTGTCTTTTTCAGGACGGACCTGACAGCAATTTTTTATGATCCTGGAAATATGCCCTCACTAGAAATTAAAGTCATCTTGTCATCTGATGTGGTACTGAACCAGTCGAGGCAGGAGGGTCTGTCGGAAGTTTCTTCAGTTAAAGAGTTTTTTCTCCCCACAAGTGCTGCTCAAGGGGATTTGTTGGGTTTTCTTCTATAATAATATTAATAATAGTAAGTAACCTTACTATGTAAAATGTCATGAGATGACTTTTGTTGTGATTTGGTGCTATACAAATAAATTTGAATTTGAAATAAATGTCAGGGTGCACAAGCCCCATTAAAACTGGTGTAATAACAATCAAGGATCCAGGCCTCCAGAGTTTGACAAAGTTATGTACATGTCCACTGTTGGTGGAAAATTTAATGAGATCCATGGAGGGTGTAGCAGTCTGATAAAAACATTTCACAGGCTCAGACAGTTCTCCTTCTGACTTTTGGAGATGAGCACATACAAAGTGAATTTCAAGGTCAAGTAACTGTGAATAATTAGAGTAGGTATTTTATTGATCCCACAGTGGGGAAATTCAGTCTAATACAGCAGATAAGCTGCAGCCTTCAACATTTTCTTCAAATTTACATTCACATGTTGTTATGTAATCTCCCTGTTTTAATATTCAATTATATTTTACTTTCTTCATGGAGGAAGAATTAAACGTAACATATTTAACTTTCGGTGGCCATGTGGAACTTCACAAATACAGATATTTTTATTTTATGGCTGTTTTTACAGTATATATTGTAATAATCTGCAGTAATTCTACTATTGTGTACCTGATCTGGAATCACCAAGACCTCCATGAACCTATGTACATTTTCATTGCAGCCTTGTTACTTAACTCTGTTCTTTTCTCCACTAATATCTACCCAAAGCTGTTGATTGACTTTTTATCTGAAAAACAGATCACATCTTATCAAGCCTGTCTTGTTCAGTTTTATATGTTTTACACTTTAGTTGGTTCAGAGTTCTTACTGTTGGCAGCCATGGCCTATGACAGATATGTGTCTATATGTAAACCTCTGCAATATCCATATATCATGACAAAAAAAACTAGCATTATCTTTCTAGCTTTATCTTGGCTTTTACCAGCATGCCATCATATTGGATTAGCAATACTGACTGCTATTCAAAAGCTCTGTATCTTTACTCTGAAAATTATTTTTTGCAATAATGCAATTTACAACCTATTCTGTGTGCCTTCAAGAGCAGTATCTATATATGGTGTGGTCTGTTTTCTAAATGTTGTTGTGCTTCCTGTGATCTTCATAGCTTATACATACACCAGGATACTTATAATATGTTATCACAGTAGTGGAGAATTCAGGAGAAAAGCTGCACAGACCTGTGTTCCTCACCTGCTGGTGTTAATCAACTCCTTCTATTTGTTAATATGTTGTCTTATTACAGTTAGACTCGAATCTGATATTCCAAACACTGCACGTTTACTAATGGCTTTACAAACAGTTTTGTATAATCCTCTTTTTAATCCAATTATATATGGACTAAAAATGACAGAAATTTATAAACACCTCATGAGGATGAGACCAATGAAGAAAAAATGAACTAATGTTATCAACACTGATAACTTCTTCTGTAATAACAGTCTAGAAATGTGATTTATCTGATTGCTGGAAAGTATTTAATGTCAGGGTTTGTTTTGATTCATAATGCAAAAAGAAAGAAAAGAGCAGTGTCAGCTTCAAGACGTGATGACTGAACAATTTCCTGCCATTACTCCAGAATTCAACATTTCTGTTCTTTGAATCACAAGTTTCATTCTGAATGTTTCATTTTATCCATAATAGTGGAAAACAGCTGCTTCACAAACACACAGTACAACACAGTAGAGCAGTGACACCTGCAGCTGTAATACTGTATGCAGCGTGGATACATTTTTTAAAATGATTTTGCTCAGTTATTACATTACAGGCACCTGGCTATCATTGCACGGTAACCATTATATATAAAAGTGTGTCATTTCAAATTTATAACCTGAGGACCTTTCTAATATCACACACTCCCTGAGTGGATCACATCATTACTACTCTCTACCATGAGTCCTGCACAGCTTGGTGTGAGTGACAGCAGCACACACACACACACTTTACCTGCTGTCCATCATACCTGTAACATCATCGAGCCATGTTCAGGGTACTTTTTTAATTTATCATGACTCATGAGCTGCATTCATATATTTTGTGGACTTATTATTTAGACAAAGGAAAGATTGGAGCAACCTCCTAAGTTGATATGTGAGGGTGCTGATGAGAGACAGGCTGCTGAACTGAATGAGCTAAGTGTGTGCTGATGTAGCTCACTCCACTCTGTGCAGGGCTCACTTTATAATAACAAAGTACAGTAGGTAATATTTACTAAGGTTTTGTGACTTATGTTTTGGTCCTAAACAGTGAAAGGGGCATGCAAAAATCAGGGAGGACAGAATGGAATTGTACACAAATACCCTCAGCACCTGATTTGCCAGCCTGCATCAAAGGGAATTGCTGCTGAAATTTAACATCAGGAGAAAACAGGGGTAAATTCTGTAGCCCTTCTGTCAGCATGGTAGCTGATGGTCATTTGAGATCTTGTCAGAGTTAAGAACATGCTTGAGCAGGAGGTGTTTGTAAATCACATCGCTCACCAGAGGAGTATGTGAAGGCCTTTTTCAGGCTTTCAGGTTAAACAATGCTTCAATTACTGAATGAAATAAAAAATTATTTTACTTGCAGGAGACTATGAGATTGAAGTTCAAAAATGTGTTTTCTTCAACCATATACAAGTTTTCTCATTGTAAATTTAGTCTTTCTTCTACACTTCCTCTTGGTCCACACATGTTCAACAGCCATCAGGCAGATCCTAAGTGGAAGTATATTCAAATGAACACTGTTGTGGTTTTGTTCATTCAGATCATCAGTGTTGGTAAATACGCCACTAAAAAACAAAACAATGCAGTGCCAAAATATTTTACGCATCTGACAGTAATTTGTGACAGGTTTAGTAAATGTCCTCCAGTATGATAATACAATGTGAAAAATATCACTTTTTAAAATCAAAGTATCTTGTAAAAACTAGCAATGCTATTTACTAGCAATACTTAACTCTTTCTGAGGGTCACCATTTGACATTGGTTGGCTGGTGGAACCTTTGACGGACTGCTGTTTCCTGCCTCTGTGGTAACTGTACTCATTTCCTGTTTTCTGTGCCTGCACCACATTTGTGCTTGCTTCCAGATTGTTTAGGAATTAAACTTACTATTTCTAGGTTCATCTGAATTTTTGAGTGACAACATACGCCTGCACCACTTAAGCACTTGTATTGCAGAAGTTCTTGCTAATAACCAAATTTAATTTGGTACTTTAGGTCGGCTAGCTTAGAAGCTAGCTAAGCTTGTAGCTTAATTGAGAGCAAGGGCTTCCCCCATTCCTCTCCTCCTTTCTCTTGCTTGGAGTGTCGCATGTTCAGTTATTCCTCTCCTTCCTTTAGCGATAATGGTACTTGTAATAAATGCCAGATGCTAGCAGCACTGAAGGCAAGGCTCACAGACTTAGAAGCGCAGCTCCACACCATGGAGAACAGCCCAGCTAGCTATGCCCAGGTAGTGGTGTGGAGCCTCCTAGACATAGCTTAGCCCAAGCTAGCCGCCCCCCAGAGCTTCCCAAGCAGCCGGGATCTCAGCCAGGTGACTGGGTGACAGTTCGCAAAAGTCGTAGCTCCAAACCAATGCCTACGGAGCATCACCTGTCTGTTCACGTTTCAAATAGATTTTCCCCACTCAGCGACACACCCACTGAGAAAACAACTGTGAGGAAACGTGAAGCTAGAGACACTGGCAGCCATAGTCAAATGTATTCCTGGGGCCAGAGCGGGGGACATTGAATCCTATTAG